AAAATTATAAAGAATAGTTTGTAAATTCGTATATGTGTAGAATTTCCTCGAATGCTAAAAAGATTTTATAAAATTTATTTTATAAATTTTTTTTTGGATGGTATTTCTTAAAAGCCAAATTGAAGATATCAATATCCTTTTTAAAGGATATTTCCAAAATTATATAGATAGCTTTGCGAATGTACTTAAATATATTTTTTCTTCTTCTAAAATTCTAATAATTCAATTTTATACTTTTTCAAATAGAAATTCAACAAAAAAAAAATAGATAAACTTAAGCTTGTTTTAAGAATTTTTCAAAAAGAAAAAATTTACTAATGCATTCTTTCATACTGTAAGAGAATCAACTGCGAACAAAATTTTATTGGAATAAAATGCATAAGAAATATGGTTGAAAGAAAAAGGACGAAAAAAATTGGTAACTAAGAATGTAATCAATAACTATTATCAGTTACTTAAATACTGTCATCATTTGTTTCATTTTCGCATGTATCACCGAAACTCGGCGATATTTTGTATATTAATATTTAAATAAAATTTGGAGGGTCTATTAGAAAAGGTGATTAATAATTTCAATTGCGGACTGAAAAACATAATAGGATGGAAGAATACTGCAGGAACCACTTTGCACCAAAAAAACAGAGAGGCGCGTTCTGTGTCATATCCTTTTTTTTTTTTGAGGTCCGTGGATAGCTAGCGGTCTTTGTAATTGATGATCGACCGTAATAATGAAAACAACAAATAGTTTTGGAGAAATTCAGACACTAACAGAGAAATTCTAGCAGCGGGTGTGAGGAAAGAGACAATAGAACTATTGAAGCAGAATTCAACATGTGATCGCAGAAACAGGTAAAGGGCAAAATTGATATCCCATTTTAATTTTCTATGAAAAGACACATCCGAAATATCAAAAGGTATAATACTTTATGGTAGGTATAATACTTTAAAATTAAGATAATAGATATGTGGCGGATGAAAAAAGATAAAATTATCTACATGATCCCGAAGAGACTGAAAGAGAGTCTAAACAAAAAGAAAAAATGAGAGAATAGGTAAAGAAGTAAGCGTCATGATTAAGGGGCGGAAACTGTCCACACTTAGTCTTATAGAATTGATAGAATTAGTCTTACTCTGATAGAATTGAGGCTATTGGTGGGAGTACTCACCGGATATTGCATCTCGATGATCCATCTGAAAGGGATAGGGAAGGCGGGGGGCAAAGTTTTCCATCTCTGCTTGAAAAACGACGAAACGTTGGAGCAGTAATTGTATGAATGTAAGACCGTGGCCCCACTACGACTAAGATGCTTCCGAAGCGGCTTTTTGACCCCGATGGATGTCTCATGGCCTAAGGCGGCAGAAATACTGCAATTTCTTAAGCTATAGTGGTGATATAATATCACAAAAGGAATCAAATATCGATTCTCGTGATGACCATATCAGTTAACTAACAGATCAGTTAGAAACCTCTGCAATACGGGTAAATCTACGGGTAAACACTACTATCTCACTACAATTTAAGTATTTCTGTTTCTAAATTTTCTATTTTTTTAAATTAACTTTATTCAATTTTTTTTTTCTCTTTAATTTTCTGTCATTTCCAATTTTAATTTGATTTTCTTTTTACATTAAAAGTCTTTTCGTATTTAAAATGATTATTCTATGTGCAGTTCTTTTCTATAATTTTAGAAATGTAATCGTCTAAACAGAAAATAATATTTTGAAAAAAAAAAAAAAAAACAATTCACCCCTTACAAAATAGTTCACAATGGATTCTATGACAATCTTTTGTAGAAAAAATTTGAATTTCTTAAACCATAATCAGATGTGCAGTAATAGAAAATAAGATGGTCAATTATAGGTAATGATTTCAAAAGAAAATTTACCTTTTTGCCTTTATGAAAATAGAAAGAAACCAAAATCCTTGTGAGATAGCACTGAAAGAATTTTATCAGGATCATAAAGTTGGAGAATGTGCATAATTAAGTTAAACAAACCATTTTCGTTTTTGTGCAAAAGGACTTTTTTTCAAAAATGAATAGAAAAAAAATTAATGCAATTTTCATTATGTAGAAGTGAAAATATCCTTTGTAACCTGAGATCATACTTTAGTAATCCTTTTGCATTTTTATTCATTTTCTTATAAGATTATTTGTAATTTTTTTCTTGCTTGTTTTTCTTATTAAAATATGGAGTTAATTTATGGTTTGTAACGCTCTACATAGTTTTGAATTTATTTTAATTTTATTTTTTAAATTAATATTTTTTTTGCAGATCATTTTTGAAATAAGGATTTGAAGTGAGGAATGCTTAAGCGTACATAGTTTGATTGTTGAAAAAATTTCGATTTGAATGTTTTGAAATTTAGGATTTGGAGTTGAGATGAAGAATACTATAAAGATAGCAGAACAAGTAAGATAAATTTTTGTATTTTCAAGAGTAGAAAAACATTTTTTTTTGTTTAAATCAAAGCTAAGGAAGGAGTGAATAAAATACCAACTTTAATTACGTGAATTTTTTGATAGAATTTTAAGACCGTATGAAATTTTAATCAATTCCCTTTATTATAGTGTTCTTAATTTGGATTTAAGAACCTAATTTTTGAAATCCAATGTATTGCTATCCAACACATCCAAAAAATTAAAACTAATATATAAAATTTCATATACAAATAAATTTTAGTTCAAAACGACCAACAAATGTATAAACTTGATAACAATTCGTTTTCGGATTATGTTCGCGATATATGGGGGATACCCTTTCGTTTAAGACTCGAAATGTGAAACATGATTCGATCGTAACATACCAAAATCTACTCAAACTGCTTAACCATTAGTTTTGTTCTATCGTGTTTTTGTGTTTATATTCCGTGAAGGAAGGCACGGAAGTGGTCTGTGGTCTGCGACATTTAGCTGTTGGTCCTAACGCGCTCTATGTTTCGTGTACAGTTCCTAATTTCCTCACTTACTTGGGGGACACACAGGTCCCTATGAATATCACTATTGCGCACATACCAGAGAGCACCCACCATATTACGAAGGATCTTGTATAGGCTTCATCATTTGGTTAAATATCAACACCTTATTGTATGTTGACAAACAAAAGCTACAACCTAGGAGCCAATAGCTTTCTCTATATTTGTTTTTTAATTCTATTCTTTTCTTTCCATCTGATCTTGACATCCAAAATCATGCCGAGGTATTTCGCTGCGTTTTATATTGATACTTAAGCACCATTCAAACTCAATTTTGGTGGGCTAACTAAATTTTTGTTTGTGAAATTTACATATACGGATTTACTTTCATTTAGTCTTATTTTCCATGCATTAGTGCATTTACTTATATTGTTGCTTGCTTCCTGTAATTTTTTTGTCAAATCTTCAATATTTGATCCCACTCCCAATATTTCTGTATTATAGGCAAATCCAGCCAAAGTTACACCTTCTAAATCTAGCAAATTGCTTGTTTAAAGCACGTATAATATAGGACGTAGAATACTGTCTTCAGGCACACCAGCCCTAATATCTCTAAGGGTAGAGTACTCCTCGTCCTGTTGAATTCGGAAAAGCCTGTCAGATAAATTTGATTCAAGTAAATTCAAGAATTGACTTTACCTCATTCAATGGTTTCCCCGGTTTAATATCTCAACAGTAATGAGATCAAAACCTGGGACCTTATTTGATTTCATCGACTTTATTGCTTGTCAATTTTTTTTTCATTAAATAAAGCTTTCATTCATATCAAGATTTTGTACTAAACATACACTATAGAATTCAGTTCATTTGATTGAAAAATTCCTTCGAAGTGATCAGCAAATCGTTCAGCTTTATTCCTGTTGCCTTTTCCTCATGATTCACGTGCCTTTTTTAGAGAGGGGGAAGGGATTCGTTATATTGGTTTCAACAAGTCAAAATGACTAACCATTAGTTTTGCTCTATCGTGTTCTTGTGCTTATATTTCGTGAAGAAACGCACGAAACTGCTGTATCAGCAATTTAGTCTAAATCGACAAGTCCCTCGCGCATCAATCTAACCCTCAGTGAAAAAAATATTCTTAAACTCAATCTAAACTTTAGATTAAATCCAAAACGAAATCAGCTTTGATAAAGTGCGTATTTAGCGCACGAAATATATTAGCGAAAAATAAAAGTATTTTATTCCGAATAAAAGGAAGTTTTCTTTTCACACCAATAATAAAAAAATTAAATCCAAAACGCTCAACCAATTAAAATTAAAATTGTACACAAATGTAAGAGTTAGCATGTTTTCGTGAAAAAAAAATCCCCCACGTTGTAGGCGAAAAAAAAACGAAAATAATAATTTCAACCCAATTAAAATTTTAATTTCCTTATGTAACATATTAACCTAAATTTTATTTACATATTCCGAACTTCCATGTGTGTTCCTTTTTCTCTACTATACTCACAGGACATCTAAACTTTTAATTCGTATTTATACATTGGTATTTCAATGTTTTTATGTGTTCCTCTTCGGCCTCCCCCCAAATCCTCTTTAAATATTTATTATTTTTCATATTAAAAACGAAAATATTATAATCTTGTTGTTGCAAGAAAACGAAACACAAAAATAAACAGGGAATAGAAATTGTTTAAAAATAATTTTTAATAATACTAGGGGAAAAAACAAAAAAAATTCAAAAATAAAGAAAAGGGTATGTGATTTTAATAAAAATACAAAAAAAAAAAGAAATTGCAGTTTTTAAACAACTTATTGCAACACAACTAAAAAATTATTATTAGGAATTTTTCTTGTACTTTAAAGTTTACAATTTTGCAGTTTGTTGAATAAAGAATAACATGCCTTCTTCGCTACTAAATACATTTTGAAAATGAAGTTTACGACATAAGAATGATGAAAAATAACTGAGATTTTCACAAGGAGGAAAAATTCATAATTGCTTGTGGGTTTTAATTTTGCTTTCGAAAAATTGACATAAAACTTTTCCGCTCAAAATAATTGGAGCTGCGCATCGCAATAATTAATGTCGCAGTTTCATCTTATACAAATATTACAGAGTTTCACTAAAGAAGAAGAGGATCAAATACTTAGACAACCGAGAAGAAGCAAAAATAATACAAAAATAACGTCAAACGCAAGTACTGAAGAGGATTACAAATTTCTTGATGATGTAGATCGAAGTGGTCTAATTTGATGTAGTGCACAAATGACGATCTTTTCTCCTTCTTGAATAGTGTTGGTCTATACCTACCTACACCAAAACAAATATGTATGTGGAATTTCGCTAGCTTCTCATTATTTTTAAACCATACCGCGTATGTTATGTGAACAATATAATTTATAGAATCTTTGTTATTCTACAGGATAATACTTTATCCAATTAATTTTTTGTTTCTGCAGGCGAAATTCTTTATACGTTATGTGTTATTTTTTTTGTTTTTTTGTTGTAATTTTGGTTTTGTTTTTCTTGTTATTTTTTATTGTTTTGTATAGTTCAGATGGGCTTCAAACATTTAAAAGATCAAAAGGATAAAAGTTGTCCTTAAAAATAAGTATGAAGTAAACAAGAACTATAACTATGGAAAATAACAGTACTATTGTATTATATTCCAGATTATTTTACTAGTAGTTGATTCAGGCAATTCTAAGATACTGTTTTCCTAAAACGTAAATAATTATTATTTAAAATTCACTAAACTCTTTCTTCAACAGATAAATAAATTATAGACTTTAAAAACCCATGAGTGAAAGTTAGACTTTCTTTATTAATTTTAATTAAAGCAGCAAATTATTAGATTTAATGTCGCCATCAGTATTTATTCTCTCCCATACAAGAGAGAATTCTTTCCCATTCTTTTATTCCATTCAATTTAACAAATCATTAATAATCAAAAAAATTGCTCAAAATAAGCCTAGATCGCCTCATTTTGCTCTAAATAGTTTTCAAAGACTCAAATTTATGTATAGTTAGTAATTAGATTAAACTCTGTGTTGTCATTTATATTTTGATTGCTTTTAATTTTTCTGATTATACTTCCTTCTTTGATAGTGTGTGAGCATAGGGCCAGTACAAAGCTCCGCCATTGCAAATTGTTTTTGACCTTATTTTTTATTTCTGCCGATGTATATTTTTGTTTATGGCCAGATATAAAAACACCTAGTTTACATTTGTGACGCATATTTACAACTTTGTCTTTCTTAAGATCGCTCATAGTCTACCAAACACCATTCTAGTGAATTTTAACCGGTTTTCTACATATTCTTTTGTGACCAGGATAGTTGAAACTTAGCATATCTTCTACTGATCTTGAACTGACGTTTAATGGGACTAGATTGACGTGTTTATGCTGATCAATTTGGTTTTATTGCCATTCACTTTGAGTCCCGCCTCGGCTGTCATACTATACAAATAGTGTAGCTTTGCTTGTAACTCTGAAGAGAAGTATGTTTTTCTGACTCACACATATTCAGAATGTCTTCCTTCAGTATCTGCATTTATTCCGATAGAGTGAAACTACTTAAAATTTTCTCCCAATCGATTCATTCTTTTATACAATTAAAACTCTAATGTTTTTCAAAACGTTAACAAAACTTTGGGATATCAGTAAAATTTATCATTCAAAAAAAGTTCATATAATAGGAAAAACAAAAAACAAAAATTGAACAAAAAATTATATTAAAAATGACAGCTATGCAACTTTACTTCTTTTAGAATTCACCGTCAGAGTTTTCCATAGGGATACATTATATTTTGTTGTCATACTGAAAATCATATTACTGTCATTATAATCATAATGGTTATTATTGTTGTTTGGGAAAAATAAAACAATCAATTCTTTTTTCTTTCTCTCTTGTTGTAGTGTTTGTCGTGTTGCACTATCGTTAGAGTATTTAAAATTAAAATAGTATTTTCCTCTCACAAGAGATATACCAGAATAAAAAATATATAAAAAAAAAATAAAAACAAACGTGAGGAATTTACAAAAGGAGAAAATAGTATATTAAAAGAGATTAGGATTTTCAATTATAATTGGGGAGCGAGTTAAAGAAGAGCCATTGAAGAAGAGATAATCATAATAGAATTTTTTTAAGACAGAAATCCTATAAAAACATGAGAACTTTAAAATAAATTTCAGTAATAATTTTGATTTAGCTTTGGGTAATCCTATAGATTTATAATAACTATTTTTATTACATAGAGTACGAACTACGTTGTTATACAAGCGTAAAAGTTTTAAAGTAATTACATTTTACGCTTTATAATTTCATATTGCTGGAGTCAATACTGAAACCATTCAATCATTATTGCTTAGTTAAGGATTTTTAATTAAATTCTTAAAAATTTCGCTTACGTATATAAAGACTTTTGAAATTCAAGACTTTTTTTTTCCAATTTCTTGGCAAACTCGTTATATCTTTTATTAGACCACTTAAATGCACCACAAAAAGACTAAATCATCATAATTTTTTTTCTATGCTTAAAAGCACTAAAACGAAAAGTTAAAAATGCTTAAAAATGAAAAAAAAACTTTTATATTTTTTCACTTTATCGCCACATAAGCTCATCTTTGAATTGCATCTCTAATGATACACCATTGATTTTTCAATAGATATTCATTGCTCATTTTTTTGTAATGTTGTGATTAAAAGAAAAAAAAACGAAACAAAAAGCTGACGAAATCGTTGATGACTTTAGTAAAAAATTTCAATTTTTTTCTATTAATCTTATACAAATACATAGGTAGGTTTAGATTATATTATACGGCAAATACAATAAAAACAAAAAAAGCCGTAATATGCGTGCCACTCAACATGCTCTTGGCTTAAGGTTAACGTCGTATACACTTTTCTCTTTCAATGAAAATTTTGTATATTGGGGTTTTTTGTTTTTTAGTTTACGTGGACAAGTAGGTGAAACCCTTCCTGGATAATGAGATGGTTTCGCACACCTCAATACTGTCGGACTCCTACCGAGAAAAACACCCACTATCGCACGGTGGATCCAATCCAGAACTTTTCGCATTACTTCAGATTGGACCGCACCCCTCTCTTTTATGATGAAACCTATATTTATTTTTAATTCTCCTCTTTTTGATTTTTACGCATCCTAAATTTTGCTGTTTCTCCTCTAGATATTTCAGTCTCTTCTTCTTGCGTAACAACATTTTTATGTATTTCGCTATTACGACCCAATTATCCTCGCTCTCTAGCATTCTTCCCACGATGTTCCCCGGAATCATTATTCCGATGGCTGTTTCTAAGGCTCGCCGTTCCGTTTCTTCAACGCTACGTTCGAAAGAAGTGTGGAAGACGGTTTCTTCCGCTCCGCCGCAGTGCCTGCATTCAACCTTCCCATCCCGTGAAGGTAGGCCCGAAAATATCTATGCCCGACAAAAACTGCGTGATGTAAAAATTACCTTTGTCATGCCCACGCCCAACCCACCTGTCGAGGTCAGGCATCAATCTAGCTTTCCTCCATATCTTCATTGGGGTTAACATTTTATTAAAATTAAATTGGGGTTAACATTTTATTAAAACAAAATTTTAAGAATAGTAAAAATGTACGAACGCCCTAAATATATCGCACAAAAACAGCTTTAGCAGCTATCAAAGTAGGTCCTGGTGTGGGAAACGTTTTTGTCAGAAGAGTATGAAGTTACATCATAGCTTATAGTCATTAAGTTCGAACACATTTTTATAGCATTGCGAGCGTGCTATTCACATGTTAGAACCCTCTTGTAAACGAGCCTTAGTTCAACGTTTTCAAAATTGTAAGTTTTTGAATGGGTGATAAAAAAGTTGAAAATTTTTCAGTTCAGAATGGCGGCAACAAATGGAACAGTACATTAGAACTGTCAACCATACCAGGACATAATTAAGGCGGATTTCAACTTCTATGACGTTAGACAGGTAACTATATGTTACATTAATTATTTAGTCAATAGCTTCAATATAGTTTCTTTCATTTGATATGGGATGGAAGTACTACTGCCCATAGACAGTAATATTCTTGCCAGCTGACAATCCAGTTATCATTATTTTATTATTGCTCGTGAATGATGACAACGTGAGTAAAAATAATATTCTGTTTTTATGTTGCTTTGCATGTATGACTTTGTCTCACTATAAATATAGATATATTCACAATATTACATACATGCAAATGAAAAATTACGTTCATACAAAAATATTATTCGCTTTATAAATTCTGCGATGATCCATTCATTCAGCTAAATAATCATTTTACATTGTCATACCTTCGGTGAATTTGTATGTGTACCTGTATAATATAGGTACTTTATTATTATAATATTTTTGATATTTTTTCTGATATATTTTTTGCCACTTCAGATTTTTATGGTTAGCACCTTGTTAGCTTTATATATACCATTTTCTTTCATACTATTTAACGCTGTACATGTACGTAGAATATTATTGGTTTGGTTATTTGTGTGTATGTACATTATAATGAACATATCACAAGCAAAGTGAAAATGACTTAAAGGTGCTTTTATGATATATGAACATAAATTACACCATATTTATGTTAAGAGATTTTTATTTTTGCTACACCAATTCATAACAACCCAGCTGTATTTTGTACTTGGCATTTGGTGGCTCATTTCTTTTTTTATAGGGAGAGAAAAGAAGAACTATAAAATATATGGTGACAAACTGGCGGATAACTTTATTGGAAAAATATAAATAACAAACAAATAAAAATCAAAAAGTATAAAAAAAATTCTTAAGGAAAAATTATGATGTAAAACGCCATAAAAAATCCTGTGTTTCATGTATCCTTTTAGAACAGTATGGGATAGGAAAATATCTAAAAAAAACAACAACATAGGTAATAATAATAGTAAAATTTATATTTAAAAATAGGTAAAAATTATAGAGATAATCTTTAATTTTATAGGAAAATTTTAATGATTACAAAATATATTTATATAAAATTACAGTAGAGCACCTTGTTGGTCTTAAAAGCCTACGTGGCGGTATGTCATTAAATACTTGTTCGTAAACATTAATACATAAGCACAAACATTTTAAACTAACAAGAGTGCTAATTCTTGTAATTTAATTTATCTTCCTAATTTATATTTTATATTTATTTTATTAAGATTAAGTTTATTTTTAAAGAAAAAATGAACATTTATGGCGCTTATTACAATTTACAGCA